GGAAGCAGGGTTGTCCAGGCCAAGTCGAGTAAGCAGGGCTTTCAGTCTGCCGGAACCACAGGAGAGATGGCAGACGTCAAGTAGCTGAAGCTGTGCGAGTAGCCAGGAGCAAGAATGACGTGCGGTGACGTCATCGGTTGGGAAGAACCGAAGAGTGAAACGGAGGACAGTGAGAAGTTGGCAGCAGTGGTGTTGCCAAAATTTGTGCTGCCTGGCTGTGCGTCGTTGTCGGTGTGCTGTTGAGAGTCACTGGTAGAAGTGACTCGCAGCGGCCAGGATGCGGCCCAAGGCCGATGACCCCAGTTTTGATAGGGTTCGCACCGGGATGCCCCATAGCACAGCGGCTCGTTCGAGTTGGGCTCTGGTGTCGGAGTCCAGTGTGGTTGCCCATTTTGCGCAGTCGTTGGACCAGCTTTTTAGGACTTGCTTGCTCTCTTTGCTGGTTTTCTGAGAGGTGATCCATCGCTGGACTTTGGTGTCGGAAATGTCGGGTGGGAAGTTGCTGGTGAGCCATTGGCAAACGTGGGGAGGTGGTTGGAGCAAGTCGCGGGGCTCCTTCCAAGTGGGTGGGGAGGGGAGGGGGGGAGGGGTCGGGGTGCCGCCGTGGGTGGAGGGGGCTGGAGGGTTGCCGCCGTGGGTGGGGGGAGCCGGGGGGGGTTGGGAGTCGTCTGCAATGCGAGTGGGCAGGGGTAGAGCGGGGGATCCGTCCTGCGGTGATGTGTCAGGTGTAGTCAACCGTGGTCGCTTCATGCCGAAGAAGGGGCCGGGGGGAGGGGGGGGAAAAGGGGTTGCCGCCGGGAGGGGGGGGGAGAGAGCCGCCAAAGGAGGGTGGACGAGGGCCGGGGTGTGGTGGGTAACGGGGAATAGGTTGGCCGTAGGTCTGACAGGGAGTCGGATGTGTAGCTGGCGGTGCCGATGCCGTGGAAGAGCATCCGTAGGAAGGCCCGGACAGGGCCCCGCACGGGTTCCCGGCCATGTTGTTGCCGTACACGATGCCATGATGATGGGATGCCGTGGGCGAAGGCTGCGGTGGTAAGTTTTGCCTTTGGAGTGCCGTAACCAAACCTCGAGGGGGTTGGAAAGCCATGAGAAAACACGGGGGAAAAGGAAATGTTCGAACCAAAAGCTGGTGAGCGGAATCAAGCGGGTAAGGTCACAAGGTGAGAGAACGGTCGCGGAAAGGCAGAACAGCAAAGCAAAGAAAAAAGGCGATCAAACAGTGCACCAATTCTTTTCCTGGTTGGGTGGAAGATGGTACACTTGCGCCCCGCTAAGCCGGGCGCTGCAGCGCGATGCCTCTCAGCATCGCAAACTTGGAGTGAAGGCACCACTTTTTGCCTCGGCGGCATGCGAAGTGGCGCCGCACGTTGTGTTGATCCTCGTGGCTTCCCCCGGATTCGAGGATTTTGTGCTGATTGATGGAGCGTAGTTCCCCAAAAGCGATGGCGCCGAGTTGAGACTTTCCGATTGTAAAGTTCTGCAAGAGCTGGCCGAGCGTGTCGGGCGTGCATGCCGTGGGGGTGGCCTGAGCGTAGCATCCAAAGCTCGGGTAGTCATGGTTCTCGGGCCTCCAAGCAGCGGGTCGGATCATGTTCTCATGGCACATGCGGCGCACTCGATCCGGGGTGGTGCCGTGCACATACATGACAGCGTGATGGGAGGCCGTGCCGGATCCAGCTTCCGGGTCTCCGCCAGCAACTGGCCAAGGATGAGGTCGGGGAAACCAAGTGGTTGCGAACACCATGCCGTGTGATTCCCGTCCCAAGAGGTGGTAGAAGCTGGGATCGAACGGTATGGGATCATCCGTGTCCATGGTTCGCAGTTCCCAGCATTCCGCGAGGAGATCGGCATGTGAAGGTGGCAAAGCAGGGTCCAGGTCCATCAAAATGGCCTTAGTCTGTTCCACCCTGGAGATGTCCAAGGCTGGAAGCGGGTCCAGCTCCCCCAACTCCCTAGGCGTGGGAACTCGCAGCGGGTCAGTCTTGGCCGTGTCCATGACGTTTCTCCATAGATCAAGCCACCGGTTGTCGGAAGTGGTGGTGGCATTGATGTCCGCCTCCGATGGAGGGGGATCCAAATCACCGGTGTTGTCGAAGGGGGGTTGGGGAGGGTGAGGAGTAGCCGGCGTGGGTCGGGGAGGGGGAGGGGGAGTGGAAGTGAAGGCCGCCGCAGGTGCTGGGTGAGGGGGCAAGCTAGTGTTGTGGTGGCCGGTGCGGGAAGTGGGGTGGGGTTGCTGCCCATGGTGCTGCAGTGACCAGGACGATCGTTTGCCCTGGTTGTTTCGGTGGCCGGTGTGGCTGGCGCCATGGTGGTGCATGTCCCAGCGGTTTTTGTTCTGTGGTGGGTATCCCCACGATTGGTTCCGCCAGTGTGAGGAGGACCATTGAGACTTGTTGGAATCCTTCCCGGAAGTGCGCCAGGAGGTGGAATCATGAGTAGTGTGAGTGGGTCGGTGCGAAGTCGTGGCTCTGGGTGCAGGGGAGTGTCGATGGTGGGACCTGTGTCGGGGGGAGCGGGAGCGGAGGGAGACAGTGGAGTGGTGTGCACGTCGGGAGTGGTGGAAGTGTCGGGAAGGGAACGTGACCTGCTGTAGCTGCGGGATCGTCGGGTGTCGTGTCGTCGGTGCGACTTGTTGTGCCTGCGATGGTGGCTGGTGTGGGAGTGGGAGTGTCGGTGCTGTCTGTGGCGGGAACGGGATCTGCGAGAGTGGGGATGGTGCCGAGTGTCCGGGGGAGGGTGGTTGGTTGAGGAGGTAGCGGCAGGAGCCGCAGCGGCAGCTTCGGGCGCGCGCGCCGGCTGAGGCTCGGGCAGTGAAGATGGCATGCTGCTCTGAGTCATGAAAGGCATGATGGTGCCAGGTGCCAAGTTGCCGTAATTGGGAGGGCCACCGTAGGGCATCATGGCCATCGGGTTGCCAAAGTTCGAGAGGCCGCCGTAGGGCATCATGGGGAAAGGTGTGAAGGATGCCGTCTGCGAGTTGGGTGACGGTACAAGGTTCATGGGCTGCGTCATCTGGGATGACAGCTGCAAGTTCGGTCCACAATTGCCTGGTGAGCCGGACGCGGTGCCGGTCGCAATGCTATGCAGGAGCGAATGCATCATGTCATAGAGCTGGTGTCCAGCCATCTCGCAAGGGAGAGAGAAGGTTGGAAAGGGGTGAAAACAAAACCACAACTGCGGCAAAAATGCGTCAATGGTGCAAATGCATGCGAGCCAACTTCAACCTGCGAATCGAAACCAAACAGAGGGAATTCCACCAGGGGACCGCCAAAACCCCGCGGCAACGGCAAAAGTTTCCACAGAAATGCATGCGAGCACAAAGGGGTTCTCAGAGGTGCCTGTCAAGTGGCCTCATGAAAGTGCCTCATGTGGCAATGCCGATGAATCTGAACTGAACTCATCCGAGACGAAAGCTTCCATAAACGCCACGAATCGCAGAGTTGGTGTATGACCAACTCGTCACTGGCGCATGAAGCTTAGGAACCTGAAACCTCGTGGGTGCAGCCTTGCTTCAAAGGCAGGCAGTGCAGGCAGTGCAACGCGCATGAAACCAGCAGAGCACCATTTGGGTGCGGAATACCTTAAGACCTCAAGCTGCAGCCTTGATCGTGGTCAAACGCGCTGAACTGAACTGCAGCTTGAACTTGAACACTTGAACGGTCTTCCCCTCGCAGGGGGCTCCCGCATATGGCGAGTCCAGCCCACAGCGCCATGTCGGACAGGCCGTGGGTAAACACACTTATCTCGAGAGGCTTCACTAGCCGAGATGCAAAACGCAGTCAGTAAAAATGCTTGAATGCAAATGCAAATCAACAGGTCACAACATCGACACCGAACAGGAAGCAACAGCGACAAACAGAAACCGCAAAAGGAATCAGGAAAGAGGGTCAGGAAATAGGCAGGTACGCCGGATTGATCAGATCCGGTATCCACCGAAATGCCGTAGCTTCATTGGACTGGATAGGCAAATCGGCTCCAGTCCCCCTGCAATGTGGAATTTCCGTCCGTGCTCCAGGACGCTTCACACACACACACACACACACACACACACACACACACACACACACACACACACACACACACACACACACACACACACACACACACACACACACACACACACACACACACACACACACACACACACACACACACACACACACACACACACACACACACACACACACACACACACACACACACACACACACACACACACACACACACACACACACACACACACACACACACACACACACACACACACACACACACACACACACACACACACACACACACACACACACACACACACACACACACACACACACACACACACACACACACACACACACACACACACACACACACACACACACACACACACACACACACACACACACACACACACACACACACACACACACACACACACACACACACACACACACACACACACACACACACACACACACACACACACACACACACACACACACACACACACACACACACACACACACACACATTCACGCGCGCACGCACGCACGCGCAGGCACAGGCACAGGCACAGGCGCAGACACAGACACAGACAAAGACAAAGACACACACACACACACACACCACACACACACACACACACACACAAACACAAACACAAACACAAACACAAACACAAACACAAACACAAACACAAACACAAACACACAAACACACACACGCACACACACACACACACAACGCTGGAATGTCATTCAGGAATGCGGCTTGCTTCGTGTCTGGCAGCCTGTCGGCTTTCCACAGGGTGTTCTTTACGAAATCAGGGCTCTCTAGTGCCCCTTCAAACGTCAACCCATATAGAAAACTTTGTGAATGTGAACTCAAGTCGTTTATTGAACCAAGCCCAAACGGGAAAATATAAGAAGCTCTGAAAGCCATAAGTGCCGAGCCATAGGGTGTCAACAAAAAGTAAGTTCACCCTCGCATTGGATTCAGGCCGCCCAGGTCTCCCAGATCATAAGTACGAGCAGAAGGAAATCAAAGGTGAAGGCCATATCCTGGAAGGCAAACAGGGTGCGCACATAGGTCGCACATCCTGGGGCACGGCGAATGAAAGCCGCCTACATTCACATGTTTCAAACCTCTCAATTTAAGGAACCCCAAAAGGCAGTGTGGAAAGCAGTCGCACCATCCTTTGGTTCTTGTTGGCCAGCAGCAAGCGAAGGCAGCACATGCAGAAACCCAAATTTCCGCCGGGGTCCAGTAGATTTAGATGAGTTTTGCACGCAGTTGCCAAAGTGCATCACCAAGCTCAGGAGTTGCGGGAGCAGCTAGTGCCGAGACGCTGATCGCCAACTCCACCAGGAAATACATGCAAAACACGTTGTCTGCGATGACGAGGAATGATCCGCGTGCGACAACTTCATCTTGCTCGGCACTAATAGCTAGTGTGACCTGGACGCAGCTTTCATACCCTCCGTCTGCAATACGCTGAATACAAAGTCTCCCGGGACAGAAGCAACACTCACTGGCAAATTGGCAAGTTGTGCTGACAAAGTATCTTCTCTGTACATCTCCCACCTGTTTCCATCTGTCCCTTGGCGCTACACAGTGGTCAAATAAGCAGGCGGCAGCATTCAGAAAGATGATGAGCATCGTGAGGCGATCAAAGTTGGGATTCTTAACGATCCGCCAGCAAATGTTCTTTCGCCGCATGCTCCTTGGCATGCGTCTGGCATGCTCACGTGGCAGCACAATGGCAGCACTGAGATGAATGGCATTATATAGGCGAGTATACAATCCATGAAGCAATAGGGGCTTGTCTTGATGGCCAAGAAGTATTTCACGATTATCAGTACCCCAAAAGCTGTTCAGCAGGTTGGGGTGGTCTGGGTGAGCTTAGTCTGCATGAAGGATGCACATGCCAAAACGCTCAACTGGAAACACCCTTCCCGAAATCAGCGCCCGCGCGGACGCGTTCGCGAGTTGAGCTCACTGCTGAATTCGGCCAGAATCGGCGTTGGTTGAGCTGTTGCCAAAAGAGCGCTCCCCGAAACATGCTCAGGGCTGAAACTGAAAATGTAGCACTTTGGAGCTTTTGGATGCCCGAAGATCAAACGGGCGCCGCCGGCCGAAACAGGGCTGCAGGCTTGCTTCTATCTGACAACCTGGTACCCAGTAGGTACGTAGTGCCCTTTAACCTTGCGCTCAGCTCTGATGATGCATTCTACAGCCTCAAGTTTCATGAAGTTAAATGGTATCTATGTCTTGCATGAGATTCCGCGAGTGTGACAACCCTCACTAAATGAGGAGGTCTCCTGATTTGCGTGGCGAAACGTGTCAACCATAGCCCCTAGACTCTTCGACTCGTCAATGAACATATAGCTCTTGCTCTTAACGTGGATCTATCACTACAGCAACATACTGCTAGAACACAGTAGAACACCAACTATTACGTAAGATCCTTTCCACGCATACCTTTTGTGCAGCACGTGCGCATAGAGGCTGCCATGTCGTGTCTGCCAGGTTGCTCGTCCTTCTCCTTCTGAAGACATTCGCACGACGCCCTGAGCGATGGCTATCCCATGAGCCGGCCCCACACTCTCTGATATGAAGGGGTGAAACCGGGGCTCAGATCGTACCTCCTGCGAAACCTGCAGCACGTTCAAACAAGCTACACACGCAAATCACCAAGTATACCAGTCTTACACGCGGAAATGATTTGGCAGTTTGGGATCTCAGTGCTGAGCTTTTGGGGCTGGCAAAGCTCGGGTGCACGCAAAAGGCCTAGAGCCTCATGCCTTACCCCTTCCTTTGGTGAGGGAACACTTGTTGGAAACCTGTACAATTCCGACAAAACTCTGGAGGTTCGAAGCAAACATCTACTGCGTTCTTTTTGTGGCCTTTGTTCATGCCACGCGTTGCGTGGTGGCAGAAATGCCAGGCTGAAAGTCAAAAAAGCTATTGGGAAGCTCAAACAGTGTACTTGCTTCCGCTGATTCAAGATGTTGTCTCAACAAACCTGGCCAAGTCAATTCTGGTACTCCATCTAAGGCTGTACGCTGGCACCGCAGGCCTAATTTGATTGGCAGCCAACAACATGTTGACACCAAGCAGCCTGCTGTTCGAAAAGCACATCTCAGACACGATCAGTCTGCTGTTCGATTGGCGACACGATCAGTCTGCTCAGACAAAACAAATAGCACATCTCCGCAGTGTGCGGAGATTCACAATGCTTCAGCTGCTTACTGAAAGCAGCGAAACAAAATAGGTAGCGGAAGGGGCCAGCATTCGATCTTTGGAAAATCCATAGTTTCTTGCTCTGTTGCACCGATATTTTTTTCATGCTGGCTGACTGCTTGAGGACTGCTGGACAATTTGGTCGCTGTTGTCTCAATGTCCGAATCAGGGACCCCATACAAATGGGAGACAAGACCCTTGTGCTGCAGAGGCACAGGCAACAGAAATTAATCAACATGGTTGGAAGTTCCAGCATTGCTAGCCCTCGATCCCTAGGCTCCGCCACAAAAGCGCCAACACATTGTGTGGCTGCCCGAGGACAAAAGGCTAAACAGGCTTGCACAGCCACGATTTCAAGCCATCGCCAGCTGGCAAAGCCATAAGTCCAAACTAGGGCTTTTTTCAGGACGGATTTTGAGCAAGCTGGCGAGCCCTACGTATTGAGACACAAATCAGCTTTCTGCCGAGCAACTGCGAGTGCAACTGCGGAAAGAAGCCCACTCTAGGCAACTTGTCAGTCGATAGCCTCCTTTGCACCTGATAGCAGTTGCAAAAGCGGGCTAGCAAGCGTCCGTGAATAAATGGGTGTATGGTTGGCCGCTGTTCAATGATCCCAGAAACGGCCATCTTTGCAATAACCTTCGCACTCCGTCGCGGAGCTTTCGAGAAATAACCAATGTATTGTACAACAGCCGCCGCAGCATGTGTAAACAGGCAGTTGTTAAAGAAACACACATCTCGAGGTTCGCAAAGCATCCGCAGGTCCAGATCGAACAGGTAGCTTTCCAGCACAATTTGTAGTGCGCAAAGTGCACTTTGGCAGCTCCATCTAGAACATCGCCACTTTCTCTACGAGTACTCACGGGTAATCTGAGGAAGAGCACTTAGGTAGCCCCAGCTCGGACTTTGCAGCTGTTTAGCACAAGTACAAGCACATGCACTTTGCGCTTCGGCTAGAACATTGCACTTTTAAGTGCGAGCGTACACTGTGTACATTTTGTCACCTCTGGCAGGAAATCGCAGGTTTTCCGCAGGCATTTGGGTCAGATCCGGGCTTCAGTATCTGTTTAGTATTGATTTGTTCTAGCTTAGTGCTGTTTTAGACACGATTTGATATTTGTTTAGTGTCGCTTTGCTCTGGCTCAGTGCAGCTTGGGTTTGACTTGTGTTGGTGTATACGAAAGTTTCGTGGATCTTGCACCAAACATTACATTTCAACTCAACTGCGTCAAGACTACAATGTGGGACCTATGCAGCACGTGTCAAAGCAAAGCCTAGAGAAGTTCACCTCAGGCCCCCCCTTCATCTAAGAAAACAACGCGCATACTGAAGTCTAATAGATATTGGTACACATTGACATGTGCTGGTGCATATGCATATGTGCTAAACATTTGTACACATGTATGTATATATATATATATACACATATCAGTGTGTATATATACATATATATATATATTATGTACGAATATATGTTAGTACAAACGTGCTAGTACACGTACATGTATGGAAGTAATTGTGGATAAGACCATCTAATATGATGTATATACAAAATCTATTGGAATGAGCGGCTCCAAATGAGATGCCAGAACTAATTTGCAGTCCGAGAACCGCTTGTTCGCGCATTTCCTTGAAATAACTGCGGCTGGAACTAGCGGCGCCGCTACATGTGATGCCAGAACCAAATGCGTCACCCGAAGCGAAAGTCGCAACTGCTCAGCGCGCCAACGCTCGGAGTACACCTCGCGCGCCAAGTGGCTGCCCGCGGTGTTGGAGGGCATCGTTAAGGGCATTGCGCGGGCAGCATTCGGGGCAACGTTCATAAAGCTTCTGTAGGGTCCTCTCCTGCAATGACTTGGGCAAACTGCGAAGTACACTTTGGCAGCTCGAGCATCGCAACTTTAGATTTCAGTACAAGTGTAGCGCACAAGGCACACTTTGGCAGCACCAGCTCAAGCATCGATCGCAGTACAAGGGTTGCACGCGAGGTGCAATTCAGCACTATCACATCATAGCTCATGCCCTTCCACGAAACCTTCGTTCGTCTCCGCGGCCTTTCGCGACCACAGCGCCGTTCAGTCCGTGCAAAATGAACCATTGCGCACGGCTGCGCGTCTGCCAACAGGTTGAATAACTTAGGCGCCAAAAGGCGACTTGTGAAACGGCTAGGTAACCAGTCGCAACATGACGCGGGCCAGGAGCGCCCCGAAGCAGTTCCCGTCAACCAAAACATTTGCCCGTTTTTGCCTGGCCGGGGAGTGTCGTTTGAGGAACCTTGTGTGACCGTGTGGATTAAATCTGCGAAAGCCCCAGCCCAGAACGGAACATCGCACTGCCACCAGCAGGTCGACCATGCTGATGATTTGAAAGCTGGAAACAGCAGTGATACTTTATAAATAACTGGGCCTGCTGTCCTGGAAAACAATAAGCAGGTCAACGCAGGTGCCAATGTTTCTTTGCTTGACTGTTTGGTTTGTTTGCTTGCTTGTTTGCTTTTGGTTTGCTTGTTTGTTGGCTTGCTTGTGTTTTTCCCTTTCATTTTTTTTGCATTTGGTTGCTTTTGTTTGCTTGCTTGCCTGCTTGCTTGTTTGTTGGTGCCACGAGTATTTGTTTAAGTGTGACTAATATGTGTGTGTGTGTGTGTTTCCTGCTTGTGTTGCTTTTTGATGTTGTGCTTGTCTTTGTATGTGTTTGTTTGTTTGTGTTGCCTCTGTGTGTTTGTTTTTGTGTTTGTGTGTGTATGCGCGTGCGCGAGCGTATGTATGCTATTTGTATTTGTCTTGTCTGCTTTTTTCTTGTTGAGTAACACAAAGACTTTCTGCCAGTGAAAGATAAGCCCCGCGCGCGCATTGACCGCACGGAGCTGAAAGCGCAACATTGCGCAGAACGCCAGCATTCACCCCTGCACCATGACATACCATTCCCAAATCGCTTTCCACCTAGCTGAAAAGCACGAACCATGAATTGATAACTGCCTACCTGAACGGCAAACTCTAAAACCGGTAATTTGAAGAGATTCCCAACTCTACCCATGATGTTACATTCCATGGTCATGACCAGATCATTGACTTCCCATACAAGAGGCTCAGTCCACCAACCCACGAACCTCGAGGCCAGGTTCGAGTGAAACGGCACTGTCACCTCCAGGCCTGAGGAGCGTCCGGGTCATCACCTTCTTCTAACTCCTGCGCATGACACACAGATCTATCGAACTCAGCGCTTTTGCAGCCAGCCAGAACATATTCAGCCACATTCAATCTCCAAGGCCACGGTGCGCATTGCTCGAAAGGTGCCTACACCAGGAATCCTATGACAAGAAACTAGCCAAGCACTGCTGCTGTTGTGCTCTTGAGCGTGCCTCACCCATGTTTCACGTGCGCTGTTGAGCTAGTGGCGTACATCAGTCGCCCAATTCGCACTATCCTTGTTTGGCATTGTCCATCATCCCAGAACCTGGAATCGCTCATGTTACCTTTACAGTAGTCTCTGTTCGCTGAAGACAGAGTATGGTCTGAACACTTCTCTCTCTCTCTCTGTCTCTCTCTTTCTCTCTCTCTCTCTCTCTCTGTCTCTCTCTCTCTCTCTTTCTCGCACTCTGTCGCTCTCTCCTTCTTGCTCTCTGTCGCTCTCTCTCTCTCTCTCTCTCTGTTTCTCTCTCTCTCTCTCTGTCTCTCTCAAAGAAAACCGAAGCCTCGCTTTCAAGAAGGCCTTCTTCGCAGTTGGCTTGGCCGATTTGTCGGCCAAGGAGACAATAAAAACTCATTGAGCCAGCATGAATACTGAACAAAGGGAACACAGAAGACAACATAACACGAAGCAATCAAGCAATCAGAACAAAAAAAAATGAACAACAAACAATGCATGAAGAAGGTCAGTATAAATATCAGAATCGGTGCATATAAGCAGGCTAAGAAAACCACGTCAGACTGAATCACACTTTTCAAAGGCTTCTACCTGAAGCTTTTGGAGTTGCACTCTATCAAATACAGCTCAATGCAGGTTTCAAACCAGTCGCTGAAAACCGTGAAGTTGGCGGTTCGCCAGCTGCCAAAGTACAAACCTCTGGGCAGTGTCGCTGTAGCCTCGAGAAAGATCTGATGGTTTCACAGCAATCAGCTTGGGTCACGAAAAAACCACCGAGCATGTCTCGGAGTAAGCATCCTGTCTACTCAAACTAGATCAGAAGCCTCAGCCAAAGAGCACTTTCCCACAACACACGCATCACTCATGTCGTTTGATACGAAGTTACTGAACATCTAACCAGCACGCCGCCACTTGTACAAGTCAAATAGCCGAATGTTACTAGGTTGCAACAGTACGGATTGGAGTTGCTTTTTGTGATTTGAAACACGCCCACACTCAATAGGCGTTCAAGAGCCAGGCATCCGATTGTTGCCAGTGACAAACACAGACTATCGCGCTTGCATCTTACAACTAAACCTGCTAATTATATAACAGCTACCCATCATGCGTTGCAGCAACACCATCAGTGACAACGATGATAACAATATATAACAATAGCGCTATATTAACAGGAAGTGCCGCAAAAGCCATACAGACTGCTTTTATCATTGTTTCTTGGGATTGGGTCGAAGGCCCGCAGCGGCCCAGATTGCCTGCTCCTTCACAGTCTGACGGGCGCTCTTGTTGATCCAGGTCATGCGCTTCCTGAAGGGTGCTGGAAGAAGCCTCTAACAGGGTTTCCTATCTTTCAACCTAAGAAACATCAGCGCGCTCCAAGTAAGCTGACTTTAACTGGCAAGCACCACCACCGAAAGGCAACCTTTAGGGCCTTTAGGGGAGCCCTGTGTTAGTTCAAGTGCTCCCAGTGAAAGGCTCACCGGGGCCAATTTTGTACTGCGAGAGCCAACGGCAAAGGTCCGGCTAAATGCCACGACAACCAAGTCCACATCGAGCGAACCAGTTCTCCTACTACTGTAACAGGGACTGATTCTGCAAACAGGACGAGAATCTAAAAATATGGTGTTTGCCTGTGGTGCAACGCGTTTTCCAACACTGGGGACAAAGAGAAGCAAACAGGTCACGCCAACATTGGCAGCTGCAAAACAGGTACTGTGTTGCAACCGGACCAGCAACTGTGTGCGTGTTTCAAAGAACTGGACCGGGGCTCAATTTGGATTGCAGCTGGGTCTCTAGGAGCATGCTCATTGAACATGGAGGTGAGGTGAGCTTGCTGGAGAACGTTTTTTTTTCGTCGCCTCATAATTGGATTCATACTGCAGAATCGTTAGCGAAAAGTAGTATGCTTCACAAACCTGATTCAAGCAACCCGCAAGTAAGGAACCTTCATCGAGGGTGAATTTGTGTTGCCTCCAGATAAGCTCGTCATAATTTGCCCGGATTGGACCCAGTGATTCCGCTGGAATTGGCCTTGGCCCTATTTCACAGCCCAAGGGTTTCACTCGCTGAGTGCGAGCACCAGCAGTAAAAACTGGGGATCGGTAAGCTCGCAATGATGCCAAGGGGGTACAACATTCCTGGACTAGGTTCCACTCTTTTCTGATGTGCGACTCTCGCTGGTTCAGCCCGTTTTCCCGTTCACCACAGCCCTTGCCTGCGCTTGCGCTGCAGTGAGGGCAGGTGATGCGAAACATCCGTGGAGCTGCGATTGATGCTGCTTGATGGCACCTGTGCTCGAAATGGCCCTCCCCGCTGCAAAAGTCTGCCCAAACTTCTTTTCATCATGTAAGGCCAACACGCTATCACCAAATAACAACTAACTAACTAACAAACAAGCGAGCCAGCAAGCGAGCCAGCAAGCAAACTGATCAACATCAGCACAAGCAGCAGCGGCAGCAGCAGCCAGAGCACAGACATCTACAGCGGTAGCAATAGCAATGACGCTATGGTCCTTCAGTGTGTCAAGACACTTTTATGAAGCAAGAAAATTAGACCCTCGAGTGGAAATAGACTCTCGAACGCTCCAAAAAATCAAATACACATCTCCCCACTGAAGCTGACCCGCATACTTACTTTTATCCGAGCCCCAACAAACAAACATAAACAGCCGTCTGGGCCTCACTTCAGACTATCGTTGTGGGTAGATGCGTTTTCCCGAGCCCGCAAAATGCATCTGGGCCCGGCCATGACCTGGGAACCCTTTAATGACATGCTCTTTGCTTGTCAAGGTCCCTTACGACACGACTGGGCAGCACTTCGGGGGTGTCGTTTGTGGGTAGATGCGTTTTCCCAAGCCCGAAACATGCACCTGGGCGGTCATGACCTGCGAACCCTTTAAAACACGCTCTTCGCTTGTCAAGGTCCCTGACAACGCGACTGGGCAGCACTTTGGGGGTGTCGTTGTGGGTAGATGCATTTTCCCGAGCCCGCAAAATGCATCTGGGCCCGGCCATGACATAACACGATCTTTGCTTGTCAAGGTCCCTTACGACACGACTGGGCGGCACTTCGGGGGTGTCGTTGTGGGTAGATGCGTTTTCCCAAGCCCGAAAAATGCATCCGGGGCGGTCATGACCTGGGAACCCTTAAAAACACGCTCTTCGCTTGTCAAGGTCCCTGACAACGCGACTGGGCAGCACTTTGGGGGTGTTTCCCGAGCCCGCAAAATGCATCTGGGCCCGGCCAGGACCTGGAGACCCTTTAATAACAGGCTCTTTGCTTGTCAAGGTCCCTTACAACACGACTGGGCAGCACTTCGGGGGTATCGTTGTGGGTAGATGCGTTTTCCCAAGCCCGAAACATGCATCTGGGCGGTCATGACCTGACAACCCTTTAAAACATGTCTTTGCTTGTCAAGGTCCCTTACGACGCGCCTGGGCATCACTTCAGGGGTGTCGTTGTGGGTAGATGCATGTTCCCGAGCCCGAAAAATGAACAGGGCCCGGCACGCTCTTCGCTTGATGCGCAGGATGTTGTCGCACAAGGGGGATGACGCACGGGATGATGCTGGCGGATGTTTGGAAGATGGCTTACATAGACAGATGCGCTCTCAAACCTAGCGCCTGCCGAGTCACGAAAAGTTGCCAATGGTCCCGTCCCGTTCCGCACCAGTTCCAAGACGCCAACATCCACAGAGGTTCACTCGTTTGCGCGATTTCTAGTATTCCCCTGTCACACGCTCACGCATGTTTTCTGGCAGGCGTTTTGCATTTTGCGCAAAACTACCTTCAAGTTGTGTCCGTTACACAGAAGTTCCTTCTAAGCTTCCTTGACTACAACTACTACCATTACTGCTGCTGCTGCTGCTGCTACTACTACTACTACTACTACTACTAATACGACTTCTAGCACGAAGTCTACGAGTGCGACGACGACGACGACGACTACTACTACTACTACTACTCCTGCTACTACTACTGCTACTGCCACTGCCACTGCCACTGGTGTTATTACTACTACTACTACTGCTACTGCTACTGCTACTGCTACTACTACTACTACTACTACTACTACTACTACTACCCTTGAGATTGTGGTGGTTCTAGGTTAAAATAGCAGCACTTCGGCGCTTAATGAACCATCGCTTTTTGAGCTACCTGCAATGTGCTTAAATACCGAGCTATCGTCACTCTTGAACTGTCTCTCATGTCTCCCACTTTGCAGTCAAGCAGCCACAGAAAGGCCAGGAGCACTCTCAGACACCTCCGTTGCGAGCGTGGCAAGCGGTTTGATTCGCCACATGCTAGTGTCTGCCATAGAAATCTGCAGTCAAGTTGCCACAGAAATGCTATGAGTATAAGTATCACGTGCCTCTGTTGCGAGTGTGGGAGGAGAAGGCAAAGCCAATCATTCGCCACATGGTAGCGCCTACCATTCAAAGCTGCAGTCAAGTTGCCACAGAACGGGACCCATTAAGACAATTCTCAGATACCTTCATTGGAGTGTGGCAGAAGACAGAGCTTGCATTCGCCACATGCCTGTGTCTGCCACAGAAATCTGCAGTCAAGTTGCCACGGTCACGCTAGGAGTACAACTATCAAGCGCCTCTGTTGCGAGTGTGGCAGGAGCAGGCAGAGCCGATGATTTGCCACATGGTGGTGTCTACCATTCATCTGCAGTCAAGCCGCCGGAGAATTGCCAAAACTATCAGGTGCCTCAATGCAAGGTGGAAGACGAAGGCAGGGCCTATCATTCAGCAACATGGTCGTGGTGATATCCGCAACCAAGCTGCCATGCAAGTGTCAGGACTATCCGCTGACTCCTGCAGGATTGCTAGAATGCTGCGTGCTTTGGAATCATAGCATCAGCGCAGCCAACATGAAGTAGATCTAGTGACTAAGTGAGGCAAAGACCTTCCTGAACTGGGCCATGTTCACAGACCTCACAACAAGGTCTTATGGAAGGTTTCAAACCATTCAAATACTGGCAACCCACAAACCATCGAGGCACCAAATGCAATGCTGACTACGTCGTCACTCTTTGGTAACCTGGTAGATCACATGCGGAGATCCTGCGTTAGCCCCGGAGGCAAGAGACCGTTGACATTTGTATCTGCAAGCCAATTGCGCTCGGAATCAAAACACCCGGCCGGCAGGCATGCAGTGAAGCCTAACAGCAAACCAGTGAAACAAAGTAATCATCTAAAGTGTGGGCGAATGGATATAATTTGGAAAGCTTTCCAAGAAGGCCGGCTTTCCAAACCATCGCACCGCAACAAGTCACGCCACTCGACTTGGACATGGCCATGCCGGGCGCATAAGCTTGGAAAAGCGAAGACCGACAAAGTGCTCTTAATCTATTCTTCCCTTCCCCTAAGGGAGGCGGGGAAACAGGACCCCCAATTCTTCTCTTGAGCCCGGCCCCTACCCCGCGTGGCAGGGAATAATGCGTATCACGTGACCGGGCTCCTTTTGCAATGATAATCTCACATCAAAACCACCCCAACCAAGGAATTCTCTTGAACTGAATTTTTTGGTGGACTGTTGCTGATTCAGAACTGCTTGGCATGATCGCCGCCTTTTTCCTATCGCTTAGGACTGCTGCTTGTCATTTCTTCACCAATCGCTTCTTGTGAATGTCCTATTGCTTGGAACTCTGATCTCCTCGTTTCTCTGTCTTCTCCTATTGCTTCCCCCTGACTTCTTTTCCTGTAGTCTTTCCCACATTGCTTGTCATTGAAAGGCGAGGAGAGAGTCATCCTTTATCCGTTTCCCTTCCATGTGTTCGTTTCTTTTCGACCGTACTTCTTGGACTGGGGAAGGGAAAAATAAACATGCAGTAATTCATCATGAAAGAAACCAAACAACACACATCAAACAATACATGAACATCGCAACATAAATGGACAGTGAAATAAACATGCATCACTGCAAATAGATACGATGCGACAAAAGAAAGAAGTGGTGTGAGGCATTGACCACAAAACTATAATAGTAACAAATGAAAACAAGGAAAACAAGGCCGGAATAGACAGAGAAGATAACATTAGAAGAAACAATACTCTCGCCAACAACAAGATGCTCATGAATCAAGGATCTGGAAACACAGCATTGCAAACACAACAAACAACATGATTGTAGACATGAATCCGCAAGGGTGGTTTTTCGTCCAGCATGCTGGCGATGTCTTTCTTACTTGTTAGGCGCATTTGGCTGAAAAGCTGCCCATGTCTGGGCGTTCGCGGGACCATGTGACGCTGGGGGTGCGGCTGCTGCATTCCTATAACACTTTACCACGATATCCAACAGTGGTATCCAGGCCCGCTTGAGAAAATCAAGCAATGCTTAGCACTAAGGGAGGAGGCGGCACTGGGCGGCAGCCCTTACATGATGAACGAGACAAAGAGATGCAACTCACGAAGAAAGAACACGAAACATGTGCAAGTAACAACACATACAGAGTTGGGTTCTTCAGTTTTCATTCTAATGCATGTGGATTACAGTTATGCAATGAACAGGCCATCCTCCACAATTGGATCCAGCTTCGCCCGAGTATCTCCTTTGACGGGGTCGCCGTTTTCAGCGTTTGTTGCCCACTTTCATCACCTCTCCGCCCCTCTCCTGAGAACGCCCAAGAGCCTGAGCTGGGAAGTGGCAAGCCGGGTCGAAACTCACTACTGAAGTTAACCGCCTCAACGGTCAACTCCTAAGCAGCAACTAGACACGATAAACCTTAAACAAAAGCTTATGTGAAACACGAGCACACCGTTGCGGCATATCATGCAAAGGGAACCTACTTTGGAGTTCATATGCACCAATGTTCAGGAGCACACATATCAACAGCTATAAAGCTTTACTTTGATCAACCTTCGCCCTCGAGCAACAACGACACCAACAATGTCAGGCACCAGCACCGGCACCAGCACCGGCACCAGCACCGGCAGCATAGCCTTCTCAGAAGGCTCTGAGCCCTGCTTAGCGGTTGTGTGCGCAGCATTTCCAAAAGCTTTGCAGCGGGCTCTTTCCACTAACCCTCTGCGAGGCAACGCCTCTTGTAAGGCGCCCTACCAGGAGTGAGTGCGGCCTTCGCAAAGCCTAGAAAAGCCTTCCGGGGCCTCCACTGCGCTGACTCCATCGGTTTCGCATGTCGGAGACCAGGATGAACATCACCGGCACACCGGGAAGGAATCACTCGGCCCCCGATCTCGGCAAAATCGGACGTGTCGGACTTACACGAGCAATAGAGTATTGGACCCATAGCCGGATGCTACTAGGGAAACACACGCTGCTCAAATCAGTCTTGCAACTTTGCACAAGCGTAAAGAGCGATGAGGATTCTGAAGTGTGTCAAACGAGGGGTTCCTTTCGGTTTGTGGGCATGAGGGGAAACCTCGAAAATAACATAGAACGAACAAGGGTCCCTAGCTTCTTGAGACATGTCCGCTACAGTGCTTCAAGAAGCGCTCATGGTTCAAGCAGCAATCCGCACAGTGAATCAGGCTAACCTGTCCACTAAGCGGCGGAAGCAACCAACCTGAACTCGATGCGGACAGACTCCGCCAGTCATGGCCCCAATCTCATGTTGAGCAAAGCGCCTTTCAGCCGAGCTGCTTCAGCAACACTCTGCAGGTCGCCCGGGGTATCATCACGCCTCGGAAAACGAGCGACGCGCAAACGTGTTTCGAAGAGCCGTGTTTCCCAAACTCGCAGGAGAGTGCTGCTGGGCTCGACATGTATTTCTTCTCCATCTCAACAATGCTGAACTCCGAGGGCAGAAAGCAAGTCTCAATGAAACACAAACATGGATCATGTATGCGCAAGCAGTCCCAGCTTGCATCCGCGGAGCATCTCGCAAGCAAGCTTCGGAAGCTGCACCTGTTTTTTCGCCTGGCATTCATTGCGTATGTTTTTCTTCAATTCAAGCGATGCACTGCATACGCCAAAGGTGTCCGGCAAACACATACAGGAATGCAATCTGTGAGGTCGATGGTACCGATTAGCAAAAGGCAGCGGGTCTATCATTTCATGTTAAGCGATAGTCGGCAATGTGCATCAGTCAAACCCTTCAACTAACGTAAAGGACCTGCAGCCGTTTGGAAGGGGTCGCTTCTCCAAAAGTACAACTTTGTAGTACAAGTGCAGTACGTAAAGTACACTTCTGCAGCTCCAGCTCAAAAAACGCACCTTTGCAGAACAATATGCAACGCGCACTATGCGAAGCAGCTCCAGCTCGAACTTTGCAGCGCAACAGTGTGCGAAGCAAACGCCCGCAGCTCCAGCTCGAAAACCGCTACAAAGTACAGCTCCGCAGTTTCAGCTCAAAAACCTCAACTTTGCAGTGCAAGTGTAGGATACGAAGTACGCTTGTGCAGGTCCAGTTCAAAAAACGCAACGTTGCAGCAAGAGCAGTATACAATGTACACTTCCGTGTACAAGTGTAGTGTTCGAAGTATGCTTCCGCAGCTCCAGGTCGAGAATCGCGACTTTGTAGCGCAGGTGTAGTATGCAAAAAACACTTCCGCGCAGCTCCAGCTTGCAAATCGCAACTTTGCAGTGCAAGTGCAGTATACACTTCCGCAGCTCCAGCTCCAAAAATAGCTTTAAAGTACAAGTGTAGTACGCGAAGTACACTTTTCCAACTTGCCCTGGCTTCTACGGGTATCGATTTTAGAGGGCTTATCGTTTTTGCAGGGTTTCCACGTTTCTGCGCACTTCATGTCGACTCCTTGAACAAGCTGTCTTTTCTGGTTTCGAGACACTACCTTCGTTCGCTTTTTACAAGCAGCTAACTTCCCAGTGCTGAAAAACTAAAGCCACTTCGCTTGGGTTTCTTCTTGCAAAACGAGCCAACTTCGGATATTATGTCTCTACTTTGTCCTGTTTTAGGGAAAATCGAACAACGTGACTCTGTCATATATCTAACGCCCCATGTGACACTGGGCGGCATGAGAGAGTCAAATCCCATGCGCTGGCCTGTGACTTCAGCCGGCTCGAGGCTCGTCTCTCCACCTGTGGCAAATCAGGTCATGGGGGTCAGCGACCATATCTCGGCTCTGGGGCCAATGGCACGCGTGGCAGCTGCTTCTTCTTTCAGTTCGTGGTTCTACCCGAATGATAAACCCGGACCCCCCTTTCAGTAAGTCAGCCTTGGGAACTACCTACGCCCGAGCCCCATCCCCCTGCCTTCTTCAACTCCATGTCCAGCCTGCGCCTAAGCTGAGAGTGAAGTGGCCATCCTCCTCCAACCCTGTTGTTTAAACTGGTCGTTGCAGGAACGGTGGGTCTACCAAAGCAGGAGGAAGGCCATTGTAGATGTTACCTGCGTGGGCCATGGGGCTTGCTACAGGTTTGTTCGTTTTGCGGTCAAGGCGCAAAGGAGAATTGAGGCACAACTCAGTGTGAAGGTATCCGCCGACATTGCGGAGGCGTGTCGGTAAGAGAGGATAGAGGATAACCCCCTAGCCCCCCCCCTCCGCCCGACGTCTGATACGTAGGGAACCGGGGGGCCCCACGTACCGCGCGGTAATTTGATGACGTTCCAAAACGTAGTCTTCGGGGAGCCGGCGTCGCAAAACAGGCGTCCTAGGCTCGAATCCCCCTGCCGGCTCTTTGCTGGTTTGGGGTTTCCTGCCTCCTTTTGCCGAAAATCTGGAAAAACTCTGTGTTGTTTTCTACTTGCTGCTTCATCAAGTCGCCAAGCTCATGCAAGTTTTCGGCCACGTCTCGATCATCAGAATCCTGCTGACCTGCGCGCAGTTGTGTAAGGGCTGCCTCCAAGAGCGCTGCAGCTCTGGGGAGATCGCCCTTCTCCTGCAGCATTCTACTCTGCCTCGTTAGCATCGACCAAACAGCCCTTCGGGGCACATCTTCATCTGCATTGTGAGTATGTGGAAGGCCAAGCGCACTCTCGGCATACATCCCAATTGCACTGGACGCAGCACAAGGTCACCCTGTTAATCTCTTCCTCGCAAAGGTCGCAGCTTGGTGTCCTATCCTCCCGCTTCTGAAGGTCATGCCCTGCCCGACGTCCTCTCTTGCGAAAACGCTGGACAAAACAGTGTCTTTTTGCAGGAAATACTGGGGAGCAAAGGGGAAATGCAAGGAAGTGCAAGGAAATGAGGGGAGGAAATAGGAAGTCGACATGACAGGAAAGCAAGGGGAAATGAAAGGGAAAGCAAGGGGAACTGAAAGGGACATGAAAGGGACAGAAATGAAAACAAGGAGAGTGCAGGGGGAATGAAAGGGAACCAAAGGACAAGGAAACCAATCGGCACGACGGGCGATGTAGGGAAATGACTGGCAACGAAAGAACGGGACATACATGGAAAATGAAGCGGACATACCGAGAAAATGACAGGGACATGAAGGGGGAGTTGAAAGGAATGAAAGGGACATGACCAGGACATCATGGGAAACGTGAAACGGACATGAAGGGGAAATCAAGGGGAAATCAAGGGGAAAGCCAGTAGTAAGCAGAAAGTTCAGGGTCATGAAGGGGCAGTGCCCGGACATCGAGGCAACTCAGGGGGGACGTGACGCTGCAATGCAGAGAGAGAGAGAGAGAGACAGGGAGAGAGCGGAAGAGAGAGAGAAAGAGGGAGAGAGAGAGAGAGACAGAGTCAGAGAAACAGACAGAGACAGAGACAAAGAGAGAGAGAGAGAGAGACAGAGAGAGAGACACAGAAAGACAGAGAGAGAGAGAGAGAGAGAAAGAGCAAGACAGAGAGAGAGAGAGAGACTAGGTCCTCCAGTAGAGAGGTTAGAATAAGGGTACCCTTTTTCTGTAGAGGGGCGTGGACAGGAAGGAGACAGGGAGACAGAAAGAGACAGAGAAACAGAGAGAGAGAGAGAGAGAGAGAGAGAGAGCGAGAGAGAGAGAGAGACAGAGAGAGAGAGAGAGAGAGAGAGAGACAGAGAGAGACAGAGAGAGAGCTAGAGAGACAGAGAGAGGGAGATTGAGGAGAGAGAGGCTTGGGGGGATGGGGAGGATGGGGAGCAGAGGGAGGGAGAGAGGACGACAGAACACTCGGGCGAGGAGACAAGAGAGAGAGGAAGAAGGAGCAAAGGGAGAGGACAATGTCGGACTGAGCTGGAGATTCTAAAGTAGACTGGAACGCACTTCAGCAACCCTGTTTGCATTTCAGCTTGCAGCCAGGGGCCCCAGTCTCGGGTCAGTATCAGTGCGTCAAACATTTCTTAGCTCGGTGTCCCAGGGGCAAGCTGCTGTGTTTCTTTCATCGGCCCATCTTCTGCTACTCCGCCAGCCAAATTCTGGAAATCCGGTTTGGCTTAAAGAATACGAGCAGTACTCGGCTGGTCAAAAATAGGTACCCCAAATGGAACCCATTCCGCAAGTGGAGACATGGACCAAAACCTGCGGTTTTTGGTGATGTAATTTTGACCCGTGCCCACTTTAAGCCTTACAAATGGCTTCACTTCGCAGCCCTTCCCCCGAACATGCGCTCAAGAGAGCGCCGCCCTTTGGGTGTGCAAATGCCCGCACCTCACCGATTACCCAAAGCCTAGAACGACAGCCTAGCTCGAATCACTGAACTGAGAAACCAAGTGCAGGTGATACATACGTAGCCATAGCTCAAAATCCAAATCGTACCCCCAGTGAACATCCCAATCCCTACTAAAATAGACTAAAATGGATGGTGCACCTACCCCAAAATGGGATCCCATTGGTTTTGACCCACAGCCACATGTCGTACATCTTACAAGTTGCCATGTGCTCTGCACCTTTGGCTTCCCCGACCGAGGGCCCCGCATCAGCTCTGTCTGCATGCCGGCCATTGAGGCACGGAAGCCCTGGAGGCCCTCCAACCTCACTGAGCCCTCGATCTGAACAAAACTAATCCAAAGGAGTGCCATTTGGGTATGGGGTCAAAATTAACCACCAGGGTTAGTCCATGTTTCCATTTACAAGGGCTCCATTTTGGGTACCTGTTTTTGACCCACGGCCATTTTAGAAGAGCCTCTGTTTGGGTTCCACATGAAGCTGTAGGGGAGCTAGGCCCAAGAAAAAGCTTGGAGAACTCACACATGCCAGGAATGAACACCTTGATCTTCTCCCGAAAATAATATTGCCACACAACCTGATCAGCAACCTCGGCGAGTCTTATGACTATCTGAATCATCTGAACATAAGACTTCATAGACTTTGCGCTCAAGATGCCGTTTTGAAGAAATGCAGCTGATGGGTTCCCTCTACCAATCCTTTGCCTGGCAGCAGTCCCTCTTTGTCCTCGTCGGGCTCCATTTCTTGCCTAGCAGTCCACGAGTTGGATTCGGCTTGGAGACGAATGTGGAGTCGACTGCTCCCCCGAGTTTGACTGCTGGGTGACGAATGTGGAAAGTCTTTAATGTTAATAGTGATCCCCAACATAGTGACGCAAAGCATGGCTCAAGTGCTTCCTGCATCTCCGATACGCACAAGGCTCCAAGGTCTGCCTACCGCCGACCAAACCTACGTTGCCAGCGCGACAAATGAAGAGTTTGTTCTACTCCAGTCCCCCAACGCGTCCACTTCGCCGGCCTCGTTGGCACGCTACCTCGGATGGGCAGCGGCTCTGTTCTCACTTGAGGTGGGCTGAAATTGCCAAACAATCCCAGCGTACGCTGAGCTCGGTCGAAATGTGGTTTGCTCGCGTGCCGCTGTTGTGAGGTTCCATTGCGCGGAAACTTGCCCAACCCTCATACATTGTGCAAGGTGCTTTCGCTGATATGCCCAAAAGGAGCTTCCTTTGTAACGTCGGGCGAGTGTCCTGTTTGGGTCATCTGATTTTTGTTTTGAGCGAGCCCGCGGGCGGGAGCATGAATTAATTCAGATCCAGGCCAGCGCCCCAGCGTTTGGCCACGCCTGCCCTGGTGTTCAAGGAACTCTTTCTGCAAACAGCACTTGCACAAATAGCCCACGGCCAAGGGGCTGCACAAGCTGGTTCTTCACTCAGAACAAAGCGTGGACATGCTTGCAGCGACTGAGCTCGATTTTGGGGTGTGGAAGGGCTGCTGAAACCATAGTCTCAGAAGGTCAGAAGTTTGGCTGTGAGTCTTGCTGTCCCAAATCTACCCCAGCCACGGTCGCATCATTGGTTTCAAGTAGTTTGGGAAATGGTCCTGACCCCAAACTAAGTGATACTTGATACTCATATTGCAGCGTTGCTAAACGATGCAGGTCGGGAAATAAGGCACCTACTCACTGACAAGCAGTGGTCACAAGCATTGAAATGCAAACAGCAACGCCACGATTGCTTTCCCGACTGTGCAAGCAAAGTTGAGCACTTTGCTGCGTCCAGCCATCTTATTTTCTCACGTGCGTCGTATATGGACTCGATGCAACTCTTTGGCCAGTTGGGTTGCTTGTATCTTTTCCGTCACCCTGCGTGAAGTGTCACGCCCTTAATAGCACAATGGAAATACTGCAGCATATGAATGACATTCTTCACAAAAACCTGACTGACATCTTAGCCCAGACAAATTGAGCATGCACAGGATGTAAGGGGGGTGCCTGTCTCCGAAGTGCAATGATTGGTTGTGTTGTTCGGACAGGCAAATTATTTGGTCGCCTTTGCTTGCCTGTCGCAGCTGGTCCATCCGCTTTGGATTTTCGTTCAAGCCACAGTTTTTGGGGGCGTTCGAAGCTCTTGAAAGGCTATCAGGCCATGGCTCAAAATCCAAATCGTACCCCCAATAAACATCCCAATCCCCATTTAGACTAAAACGGGTGGTGCACCTACCCCGAAATGGTTTTGACCCACAGCCATCTGAAAGGAACCGCGGATTTTAGTTGCAACTGCTTGCGATCAGCTCCCTCTTGGCGCCCCACCGGGCAAAGTCTCCGTGGGCAGCGAGAACGAGGTCTTCAAGGGCGCTGGCGGCTGCCCTTCCTCAAGAAAGTAAAACCAACACGACAGTGCCTCTTGACTAGGTCCTCCAGCAGAGAGGTTAGAATAAGGGCACCCTTTTTTCTGTAGTCTATTTTAGTAGGGGAACCCCCCCCCAAAAAATGGCAAAGGGCACTACTCAGTAGTTCACTACTGGGGGAGCTAGCTGATTCGTTGATATCACTGCGGGTGTCATGCGGCAAAAAGGCCGCGCCCACACTCAAGGCACACAGCGCGTCACGATGCCGCTGAGGTGACGGGCGTTTTACCTCTAAGCAAGGTTGCCTACCCCGACTGGGCCTGTCGTCGGATCAACACGTGGATCATCCCGTGAACCTAAGTATGCCAAGTACACAGCACTGCACATGCTGAAGAGGAGGCGGCCTCATTGTTTGGTGGGCAAAGCTGGTTTGGTCTGGCCTGCTTGCAGATTTGGGCTGAGAGGTGGTCGCCCTCTTGATGAAAGTGCTAGGAATGTCCGGGTGGTGCGAGGGAGACACTGGCAGCGGTGGCACGGATGCAAGGCGCTAGGAGCTGCTAGGAAGATGGGTGACTGAAATGGAGCGGGCCTGAGTGGTTGGAGTCGGGGAAGCAATCTGGGAGGCAAAAACCAACCCGCAACACCAGCTTGTACAAACCCCAACCTGCTTACTTGACCTCGTTCAGCTTGGTCCAAAAGACATGTTGGGATCGACAAAAACTTAGAACGAGCTGGTACCATCGCTCTAGCCTGCTCAGCATTAGCAGCATCACCAGCATGTTGATAGAAAACAGGAGAAAACATAGAGAAAACAGGAGAAAACAATGTCACACGAAAGGTCCCTGCTCATGACTTGTGGGGGCATTGCCAAAATGACGGAGGATATTAAAAACAAACACCTACAGGTGTTTTGCAGCCAGCGAAAAGAACATGTCTAAAGGCAAACCAAAAGTCCCTACTCAAGTCATCAGCAGGAAACACTTGTTTGGATCAGTAGCACCCGAGTCCATCACTTGCGGGGGACCCTTCCAAAATAACAGGGGAGGAAGTCGCCAACAAAAACTGCGAACCATCCCAGCAGGGAAAAGGACATGAACAAACGGAGGCCAACAGCGTACGTTGCCAACAAGAAGCAACACGCAGCCGCTAGGGAAGAGAACTTGAACAAACGGAGGCAACCCAGGTCCCTACTCAAGTCTTGATCGGTGATCTTTGCAGACGAAAGGGTGCAAACAAGAGCGGAAAAAGAAGAAGCATCAGAAGAACACAGAGCTTGATTGCATTAGTGGCGTGCCTGTCCTATCCAGCACGTTTCTATTGCTACACGTGCTGCGCGTGCAAAACACGCAAGACAACAAAGCGGCCCCGCGCCCATCGCCGCTCATTGCACGCAGCCGTGCCTATGGCTCCTGCGGCAAAGAGACATGAACATCCAGTTTCTCCTGCGCACGAGCACTGTACGTGTTCGACACATTTAAGAAAGCAGGCCTGAAATATCCTGCTGAGCCGGAGGCGTTGGCGCGTTCGGAAACGAGCCTTAGCGAGCGACAGTAGCCTCAGCCGAAGGCTACCGGGCCGCCGCCAAGAGCCGCCGCAGAAATCAGAATCCCGACCCACTGCAAAAGCTGCTAGTTCGGCATCATTGCAGTTGTTTTCGGGTTGGCTGCAACAAGACAAAACCAATGGAAATACCGACAGCAAATGGCCGCTCAGGCTCCTACTGCCGCTCTGCAAGGAGTCTAAGCCGGCGAGGCAAGTGATCTGAGGCCGGTGAAAACGCAGGGTTCAGCATCATGCGCATTTCGCCGCTCTCCCGGCGCCCATTGTCAGCATTATTTTTGAAACCTGCGCAGCGCTTAGCATCGCCATGCCCTGATGCGCGGGCCCAGGTTACCAGCAGGTGCCAAGATCAGTTGTTGACGGTATGCGTGTGGCTTGCGATGTGTGACGGTATATGCGAGAGGCCCGGGACTGATGCTAGGTGTCAAGTCACATACGGAAGCCGGCTGTCGGCCACCTCCAGTCGCTTGGACATTACACCGGGAACGCCTCAAAAAAACTGCTGGCGGACATCAATTCCCGTGGGGCTGGGGCGCTGCCGCCTCCAGTCGCCAAGCCTTCGGGGGCCCAAGCCTTAACATCCTGAACCATAATCCCTGAGAATATGTCCTTGCTGGACAGCCAGCGCAGCTGGTGCCGGGCGCAGCCCTCGAATATGCAGATATATGCAGCCAAGAGTCTGGCAGCGCCATCTGCGCAATAGGCGAGTCCTGGAGTGGCAAGTTAGCTGGCTGGTGGCAGCCGCGGTTGGGGTTCCGAAAGCCTCTGAATGCCTGCCGAAACCCTGCTTCCCTTAACAGGACAACTCCCATGAAACTGCTCAACATTGTTGCCCGGGGGCCAGCGAGTGCATTGCCCCCTCATTCAGCGCACTCAGCGGGAATCAGGACAAAGTCCTTATCTTCATGCAAATGCCAATTCAATCCCTCCGCAAAGAGAGCAACAATTGTGCCACCTTTGCAGGGCCTGGCCCCCGAACATCGCTCATTGCTGCTGGTTCTTGCTGCTTTGGATGCCACCGTGACTCAATGACTGATGGGCAACATCCATCACCATCCGCATGGAGCTCCCTTCAAGAGTCACTTTGGCTGTCCTGCTCTGAAATCTTCATCGCGTGCTTTAGGTATTCTCTTGCTATCCCAAATTGTCTGTTGCTACAGGTTGTTGCAGGGTGATGCAATATGCCATCTAGTCAAATATGATGTTTTAAGATTGGTGTTGGCAGTTTGAAATTGCAAATGTTGATGATTTCGTAATCGTTTGATTAAATTGTGCAGCTTAATTCTACTTAATACTTGAACCCAAGCCTGATTTGTTGCTCTGGATAAACTCCGCTCGAAAGGCTGCGCTGCCAAGGCCTCTGGTACTAGCTGAAACAAACGTTCCCAGAAAAAAACGCCGGACATGACATTGTAGAATATTCACAATGGAACGAAAGCCGCCAAACACAAGCCCGCTTCATGCATCCCTGCAGAGTACCTATAGAACATCTGTCCCAAACTCGGATGGATGGATACACTGGGTGGGTGCCCACAAAGGTGCAATGTGTTCGTCGAAGTCTCTGATTTTGCAAAGGCCAAAGCTCCCGAGAAATGTGAGGGACACCTGCATTTTCTCCAAGCTGTTGCAGCGAGCGACTGCTTTTTTTATTGGGTGAATAAGATGATTGCCAGGCATCGTTTGGTGAACCTGACATGTGGGTGACTACCTGTCCAAAACAGAGAACTGAGTCAACAAGCTTTCCGTCACCCTAGGTCCAAGGCAGATTCGTTTGCGTCTTCCGTTTGGTAGACCTCAGATCTTTGAACGTCCGATCCTCATCTGGGACGACGCGGTTCCGCCTCATCCGACCTCGGATCAGCGAGAGGGAATCTGACACAACCCTGCGAGCTCCTCCAAACTCCTGGCATTGAGACCCTCCCAAATTTCCACAACTAGCCTGCTGAAGCTCTCACAAGGCTTACGAGAGGGGGAGAACTACCTGAGTGTCTGAAAATGATCTTGAGTTGAGTATCAACCACTCATGATCAAGGTGTCTCGCATTCCCACTTGAATGGCTGGTTTCAAACAGACCGCTACAGCACATCACCTATTCAAACATGTTCATACATCTAGCATGTTGGCTATCTGTATGGAAGCTCTTGTGCAATTCCATACAATAAAGGGCCCCCGGATGGACAACGTAGTAACGTCAACAGTGGGGGGGATTGCCAAACATAGTGCCAATTTGGGACCCACTCGGTGACATGTTGTGCCATTTAAAGGGGCGCCAACGGGAATTTCCTCACATCGACAAGGTGGCCAGCCAGCTGGGCATCAGAACGGCTCCCAAACGAAACTCGCTGCCAAACCATAAATAACCTCGAGCTTTGTCTCCTTCCCTTGTGGCTTGTTTCAAAAAGAACGCAAAGGGCAATCCACCTCCCCCCCCCCCCCGCCGGCCGTTCGAAACACACGCAAACTTACCAATCAGAAGTTACGTGAATTTCCTTCCAAAAACCACCTGGAAGCAATAATTCAACTGGAAGCAAGTGAAGATCAAGGGCATACACCCCTTGGGTGGCTGTTTCCGTTTGCCCCCGTCATCAATTACTTTCAATCCAGGGGGAATGTTAACCCTCAGAGATCCTTACATTGTACACCTGAACATTGCCTTGTAAATGGTGGTGTCCCTTTGGTTTGGTGGAAAAAGCCATGTTTTAAATGGGCAAAATGTATCTGTTAAGGAGCCCTGATCCTGCTTGAATATTTGCAGGGCATCCTTCGTGTGGCGAGAATCCTTGTCAGGTGCATGCCCTTTCCCCTGCCAGCCACCGCGGCGGATCGATCAATCCGGGGAAAGAATCGGATCCAGCACGCGATTGAACCCTTTTGAACCTCGCGGTAAAATGGGAATGGGTCAGAATTAATCCACCAACAAAAAAAACACCGCTGGTTTTCCATTTGCCAGGGATCCTTTTTAGGGGTTCTCCAATTTTTGACTCACAAAAACGGCCCCGGGGCCACACCAAGCTGCTCAAGGGCCTGGACCCAACGATCTCCCTCTCCAAAGGGAGCACCCAGCTATTGCTCCGCGAAAGCGCGTCTGAGCCACATGAGCCACATGAGGCCAAGGCTGCAAAAACGGTCAGTGATTCTGGGCGCTGATGAGGCTTCCTTTGCCAGCTTTCGGGTACAGGGGGCTATGATTCTAGAAATTCCAGGCGTTGATCCACTCTGCGGGTGAATGCAACCACCTTTGTCATTCTCTCTAGCAATCCTGGCAACAATGGGAGACTTGCTGCTCAAGGGATCTGCTGTTCCCATTTTTGAGACCAAAGGCTCTAGCGATTTGTTCATGCAGAGTTCTGGATGGATATACCCGGTCTTCAGTTCTTTGTCCCTGGTGCGCTTCATAGCCATACAGGCCATGCCATCTTCAGAGCCCAGTTGATGTCAAAGTGCCGTCTTCTCCGCGCAAAAAGGCAATGCAAACCCTGCGTCACGGGTTCACACACACACAGTGGGCAAACAACTCACAGCTACTCGCATATTAAACTGAACAACACCCCCAGCGGACCTGCTAAGTTGAAGGCTTTGACACAAAGCAGCCAGCAGTATGGGGTAAGCTATTGTCTTTGCCAGTGGCACCCACTATGTCCAACAGCATTTACATAGTAGGATGACGCTTTTGCACATTGACAGGTATCTTTAACCTACGCCTGACACATATTGGCGATCCATTTCAACAGAATCACAACACTGAAGCCACACACTACGCACATAGCTGAGATGAGAAAGGGGCCTTCATCAAGGTGAGAGTTCATCAAGGCTCACCAGGCATCACGCTGTGCTGGGGCATTCACTTGGTTCATCAGGGGCTGCCGGAATCCCAGCAATTGCAGGGTCAACAAGGGTCATGAGCGAGGCAACGCAACGCAAATGACATGAACTTCCTGGAGTAGCTTTCCTGCTTCAACCAGCTCCCAGCGTTTTT